GACATTATCTGAAGGGGGCACTGGAGATTTGTCTTAGTTACTTTTCTAGTTGCTGAGACAAAATACCCAACACCCAAAGTTAAAGGACAAAGGGTTTATTTAGCTCATAGTTCATAGAGGTTTCTGTTCATAGTTGGCTGGCTTCATATAGGAGAAACATTTCATGGTAGGCAGAAGGCAGAATAGTAGTAAAGAAGCAAAGCAGTAAGTGACTAGCAGCCACCTTCTTTCTGTCCATTATGTTCCATCCAGGCTCCCCTTGCCTGGGGCAAGTAGCACTCACACTGAGGGAAAGGCAACCTTAATTCTAGCTTTGCACCATGAATCCATCCCAGCATCATCCTTGATCCCAGAAGCACACATTGTAGATCCAGCCACCCACCTCTGAGAAGCCCCACTTGTGATCACATGAGGCTTCAGGGGACATCTAGACACAAGTCATAACATTCCATCTCTGGCCCCTTAAAGACTCATCCCTTTAAGAAAAAAAAAAAAAAATCTAGGCCAAAGTCGCCAAAATTCTAACAGTTTCAGCATTGCTGAAAAGTATGAGTGCAAAATCTTCTCTGAGATTTAAAGCAAACTCTTAGCTATGAGCCCCTGTACAAATGAAAAGTTAAATATTTCTAACATACAATGGACAAGGTAAACATTATCATTTCAAAACTAAAAATAGAGGGATACAAGGAAAACCAAAATCCAACAGGACAAACACTAAGTTCTGTGGTTTCATGTCCAGGATCCCCAGAAATCTGTGGCAAAATATGAACTCTAGAGGGCTTGTGTGGCTCTACCCCTATGACACTGGGCACTGTGGGTGGTTGTAGCTTCTATGGCTTCTTACTGGGGCAGGCTGTGCTTCCTCATTGCAGTTTTCCTCAGTTGATCCATATTCCTAGCTTCTCCAGACTTCTAGGGTCTCCTACACCTTTGACTTTACACTTATAACTTCATACAGCACTTACAGGAACATAACTGCATGGCTTCCCAGGCCTTCTTCTGAAATCTGGGTGGAAGCCTTCTTGACCCCACAACCCTCATATTCTTCATGTACCTAAAACCAGCACCATGTGATGATGCCAATGTCTGCTGTGAGCTGGAGCAGTAGCCAGGCTTCTTTCTCTCTTCTCTGTATGGGTTGAGTGCTTATGGACCACATCCCAAGTAAAAACTTCACTAGGTTGCTGCCATTCTGGAACATGGTGCTCTGGGGCTTTTGTCTGAAAGCAAGGTCATTGACTTTTACAAGGCTGGGGTCCTGCTGGTTCTTGTGATAGCCTTAGGCTATCTTTTCCATTGTCCTGTTCCTTCTCAGCATCCAAATCTCTGCTTTATATTCGCAGTCCACAACTTTACTGGAGCTTCCTTCCTGGCCAAACTCAAAATGTTTTAAATCATTCTGCTAGGTTCCTTGCTCTTGATTTTCAACATAAATCTGTCTAAATGTCCCAAACAGTACCATGCCACTGTCTCAATATGACTGTCTTGAAATTTCTTCTGCAAGATTAGTACACTGCCCTTAACATCAATCCCAGGCAAATTCTTTGGACATGAGCAAAATGCAGACAAACTTTCTCCAAAAACATAACATGCATGATCTGGAGTCCAGTGCCTGTGCGGTCATAACAGAAACCAACTGAGCTTGGTCTTTAGTGGAAGCATTTCAGTCAGCATTCTGGTCTTTTAGGTATGATTAGAATTTCCTATTAAGTACAGCTTAAGACATTCCAGGAATGCTTGCCCAACTGCATCTCTGAACCTTTTGTAACACTTCTCAAAAGCTCCTAAACCACATACATTGTCAGGTACAGAAATGACCCCACTTCTCTGTATCAGATGATGTTACTTTTCTCCTTACTGAGACAAAATACCTGGCACACAGTATTAAAATACCTGGCACACAGTAAGAAAGATTGCGCCAGGGATATAGGTCAGCAGTGTAAGCACCTGCCTGGCAAGTGCAAGGTCATGAGTTTGATCCCAGTACCAGAAAAAGAAAAAGAAGATGACATATTTCAGCTTACAGATTATAGAGGTTTCATTTCATGATCAGCTGGCTCCAAGGCAGGGTGACATCATAAGAAACAATTTCTTACAAGCAAAAGGCAGCAGAACTAGCAAGTAACAATTGACAAGCATCACACACCCTAATCTAGTCACCTCTGAAAAGCTCCATCTATGAGCATATGAGGCTTTAGGGGGACATTTAGAAACACACAATAACGTATTAAAACCAGGGCTTCACACTGAGCTATACCCCTGCCCATTTTTTTATTTTGAAACTCACTATGTCACTACATTGCTTTGTGCTAGAACTTGAGCTCCTTTTGCCTCAGCCTCCCAGGTGCTGGGATCACAGGAATACATCATCATACATAGCTCATTTATCTATTATATCAAATTAAGAACAAGGAAGTTTTTGTTATATTGTTACTCCTTTTCTTCCTCCTTTATAAACATTTGGGTACTTGCCCTACGTTATTTTCCTTCATTCCCAAGAACATTTTTTTTTTTTGTATTTAGTACAAGGTCTAGAGGGCTTACAGGGTCTTATTACATAGATCGGACTTGTAGTGATTCTCCTGTTTTCAGCCTCTGAAGTGCTGAGATTACAGGTACGTGCCACGACTTGCCATCTCAGTGCACCCTGGGAGTAGGGGGCAGGCACAGCACGCTGGGGATCGAACCCCAGCTGCTGCGCTCTGCCTAAGCAGGTGCTTTAATCCACTGAACTTATCTGGCTGGCCCTGAACTTAACATTTCTTAACAAGACTTCTGGTACCAAGTCTCAATTTGGGAAACATTTTCTCTGGTTTCTTGGAGAATTTTGTTAATGATAGTGTGTACTCTGAAAATGATATGCCAATGTGTAGGGTCTGCTTTATTTATCGTGCTTGGCATTTGACCTTTGAGTTCCTGGACCCATGATTTGATGATCTGACAGTAATTTGAGGAAGTTCCTTGTCATTATTTTTGCAGATATTTCTTCTTTGCTGCTATTTCTCCTTTTGGTATTCCCATAATATATACTATATATCTTCTGCAGTTGTCCCACATTCCTTGGATTATCTGTTTTGTTTTCAGTCTTTATTCTTTGTCAGTTTTGGAGGTTTCCATTTAAATAAGCTAAAGCTCAGAAATTCTTTCCTTGGTTGTGTCCAGTCTACTACTAAGTCCATTGGAGATATTCACTTCTAATGCATTGTTTTCCACATCTAGCATTTCTTTGTGGTTTTCTTGAGAATTTCCATTTGTCTGCTCGCATATTTGTTATCCATTAGAGCATGTAGCATGTTAAAGTTTTTTTAAATTCCTGGCTTGGTTATTCTGACATCCCTGCCATGGCTAGTTCTGATTTTCTCTTTCAAAATTGAGTTGTTGGTCTTTTTTTTTTTTTTTTATGGAGTGTGGGGTGCATCAGTGGTGGTAGGGAGGTGGGGGGCTGAGACAGGGTCTTGCTATGTAGTTCAGGCTGGCCTTGAACTATGTAGCCCATGGATACCTCAAATTCATGCCAGTTCTCCTGCCTCAGCCCTTCAAGTGCTAGAATTATAGGTATGCACCATTATGTCCATTAAGTTCTTGGTCTTGTAAAATGTGTTTTGATTTCTTCTCAACAGTGACACAACAGTGAAATACTCAACTGGGTAAGAGGAACTGTTATAGGTTTCTAGTAATATATTGGTAAGGTGTGATGGAGGGGACATATCTATCTTTGGGGAGCCTGTGTCCCAGGGCTGTAGGCTTCATGCTTGCTTCTCAGTTCCCAGTCCCCCAAGTGGCATGAGTGTTAAAATGAGACACAGATGTTTCCTTTTCCCAGGTAGCTAGCCTCTGACAATACTCAGGTAGTGGAGGGCTGACTTCCTTCAGGGGAACAGAGTGCTCTGGCCTATTTCAAATGGTTTCCCTTCCCATTTCTACTACTAAAAGCTTGAGGGCATTTTTCTTCAGTATTTACTGTGAGACTTAGTGAGCTCCTAGAGGTAAAACAAATGCTGAGGCTCCCCTAAGACTGAATACCCTGAAGTTGTTAACCTTCAGTCTGCGATTTCTGTAGTCTGCCATCTCCTTACATGCAGGGCTTGCTCTGAGTCCTCACCTCTCTTAGGGATCTAAAGGGAGTTGATTGTTTCTGGCTTCTTTCTTGTTTGTTAGGACCAAGAGCTTACTTCTTCACCCCTACATCAGTGGTGGCAAACCTATGGCATGCATGTTATTGTTCTTTAGACAAAACGTTTTAATGTAGAGGTGTTTCTTTCTAAACTAAAACCTCAGTATTCAGGTTTAATTTCAGTATTGGTGCTTTGCAGTAAATAAGTGTTTTGAGTTAGTCTGGTACTGCAAGTCTCAAAGTTTCACCTTCACTGTCCTGCGCAGTAATGAGGCTGAAACCTAGAAGAGCCTTCTTTCTCAATGTGAAGGTGCTGATGTTTACATATCCACTGTCGCTGCCTCCTGTGGTTGTTTTTTTTTTTTTTTTTGATAGGGTATTGCTGTGTAGTTCAGGCTGATTATGAACTAAGTGATCTTGCCTCAGCCACTGCAGTGCTGAGATTATAGGCATGCATCACTCTATTCTCCCAAGGTGTTAGTGTGTTGTATTTTAGTTTTATCTCAGTGAATTTTTCCGATCCACCATGTTTGAACTTTTGGTTATGCAGAAGTATGAATTTCTCAGGTTTCTGTTACTGTTTTATAGTTCATTCCATGTGGTAGGAAACCATACCCTATATGATTTCCAGCATTAGCATTTACTGCGGCTTACTTTATAGCCAGCCATGACCCTGCCTTTGGGGGTTGTTCCATTATGTACTTGTGAAAAATAGGAATTTTTTCTTGTGTCATATGTTCTTAGAGACATTTGTTTGCTCCAGCTGGTTTGCTGCATTGTTCACATCCATTTCTCTATTTTTCTGTCTGGTTATTCGTGTTTTTAATTCCCTTTTGTTGGGAATGGTGGTGCAGGCCTCAAACATCCTGTGCTGTTTCCACTCCAGGCTCCCAGTGAATCCCAGCCCAGACTGCAGGAAGCTGGCTTGCCACAGGCCACAGTGCCACAAGCAAAGGGAGGTGTGTCCAGCAAGGGGAAGTCCCAGATCCCAGTGCTCCATTCTGAGGTGGTTTTGGATTTGAAGGAACAAGCTAAAAAAGGTAAGTAGAGCCTGGTAGTTTCTTTTACATCCTCTCCAGAGCTCTAGTCACATTCATAGCTGCACTTATGTGCTGTTGCCCACACACACCCTGTGAAGGCAGTGTGCAGCTTGAGCTAGCAGTGAGCTTAGTGAGAGGACCAGGAGGAGTGAGACATGAGGTGTCTTCCCTTTCTGACAGCCCATCCTTGTAAGCTGTGCAAGGAGAAGTCTGGATGGTACTTTCACTTGATCCCAAGACATCACTGGGATTACAGGATTAAGGGGGCCTAAGGGGAGTTGGCTGAGCCCCAGCAGCTATCAATGGGAAAAAAGGTGACCCATCCCAGACATGGCATCCACATACTCAGCACTCCACCCATCTCCATTTGGAGGTTGTTGAGATTACTTTCCTAAGCTGCTTATCTTCCTCAATGAAGATGAGCAGCCACATAAAAGTCTGTGGTCTGCTGCTGAAGCTCCCCAACTGCTTCCAGTACACAGCTACATCCCATCCCCTGGAAACACCCTGGAAGTTGAGTGGTGGTACTTTGTTTTAATCAAAATAATGTGCCAATGAGGTCCCAACTAACCATATTCTCTGCAGAGGAAACCAATGAGATCCCGGATGTGAGTGAAGAAGTTCAGAGAAACAGTGGTGGGTTGCCCCAGGAGCCAGGCCAAGGAAAGGCTGCAGAAAACATGGCCAAAGGTGGCAAAGGCTTTGGGGGAGCTGGAGAACTTAGCCGCACCATACAGGTGCCAGCTGTCCTGTCAGTGAGCCCAGAAAACCAAGCAGCAGAAGAACCTGAGCGAGACCAGCTTGTTATCCGTGAAGGGCCAGAGGAACAGGCTGCTGCTAGGGAAGGTAGGTGCTTGTCTCTCTCCATGTGCCAGCCTGCCATGCTCCCTCAGATTTCAGCAGATGGCACTTCATGGTCTGCCCAATCTCCCATGTTGATTTTCCATTATCAAGCTGGAGGCAGGCAGGAAGGGCAGTGCACTTACAGACCTTGAGGCTTTAGAAACAGCACTAACAGAGGCAAGGAGACTCTGCAGGCACAGGTTCCTGAGCAGAGTGCCCAGCAGAGCAGAAACTGCCTCCTGGCCACCCTCTTGTCTGCTACCTTCTCATGGAGGACTGGTGCAGGGTAGGTAGCTGTGAGCTAGCAGGGGGGAAGGGAGAAGGAATGACTGTATAGGTGGACGTCAGTGTGCAATTGAGAACTGAGGGAGACAGACAGTGAATCCCATCTTTTTGGGTTTTTCTTATTAAAGAGTGGAAATCTGAGACCTAAAAATTTCTGTCCCACCCAAGCCAAGAGAACGCAGGAGGACACGACAGATGTGTTCTGCAGTGGGCAGGAAACAGCTCAGGGGATGTGTTCATTTGCAGCAGTTACCCCAATTTGGTTTAAACTCATTTTCACCTCAGTTTCTCTTCTGGAAAAGTTCCTTACCTGCTCATCGTGGGAGGACTGGTGCTGTGTTCTTGGTACCAGCCCCCTGATGCCCAGAGGACAGCTAAGGCTGTGCTGAGGGAGCCAGGGCCACAGGATCTGGCTCTCTCAGAGTGCAGGGCTTCCCACTGTAGATGGGGAGGAGAAACAGGGCTGCAGCAGATTTTCCAGTCTTTTTGTTTAGTCTCACAAGCTTTTGCTTACCTTCCTATATGTGTGTGAAATGTTTAAACCCTTGGACTGGATCTCATGAATGCATTTTCTCCCAGCATCCTTTTCTGGTTGCTCTTCCTCTAGGGATGAAAGCAATATTGAATAATCCCATCCTTACACAGGACAGGTTTGTTCTTTTGCCCACAGTAGCAACTCTATTCCCTCTTGGAGCAAAGAGCCATTCTAAGGAGGTATTTTCCTCACATCTAGCTTAGGTTGGGGCCTTTTGGGAGAAGGGATATAGTCTTGCAGTGTCACCTGTGCCTTTCCTGAACAAGATCCTGGTTCTGTGTGATCCTTTTGCTCAGCATCCCCACCACAAGGTGCCAACATTACAGACAGGACCCACAGTACTCTGTCCTTTCTGTGGGGTGGGGGGTTGCTGCTGAGGATTGATCTAGGACTTCATGAATGGTAAGGCAATACTGAACCCCTAAGTTGTACTCCAGGGCCATATTTGAGTATAGCATTCACTTCGATGTGGAATCAGTGATTGCTGCAGGATGATGGGATCACTCCCAGCACCAGGGTCCCTGTAGCATTAGGGGAGAAATAATGTAGCTTACACTCTGATTTTACAGGAGATGATGACTACAACATGGATGAAAATGAAGCAGAATCGGAAACAGACAAGCAGGCAGCCCTTGCTGGGAGTGACAGAAACTTAAATGGTATGTCAGTGGTGGCAGTGGGGGCTTTCATTTTGCCTAGTCAGTTAACAGCAGTAAAAAGTTGTTTCAGAGTATTGTTTAGCTTTTGAGAGCAAAAGTTGTGGGGTTAGGTAAAGACTGAAAGGCCCAAGATATCACTTGGAGAATTTGCTTTCAGTAACATTTAGGGCTTTTTAAACAAAATGGCTGGGTCACCTCTTGTTCAGTCTACCTCTATAATACCTGAAGTGCAGCCTTGCTGCAAAAGCTCAGCTGGCATCTTTTTGAACAGTGCTTCCTTTTAAGGGCGGGGCTACTGAAGACTGAACTTCAGCTCTCTACCAGAGCTACACCCCAGCCCTTTTACTGAGATTGTAGCCCAGTCAGACCATAAAACTTATAATCCTCCTGCCTCAGCCTCCCAAGTAATAAGATTAAAGACATGATACCACCATGTCTAGCTTGATCCTTTTCAAAACTCAAGATTATCTCCTGATTTTACTCTTTTCTTTACACTTATTCCATATTTTTCTACTTTAACTCTGAGATGGAGTCAGAGTATTTCCTCAAAAATAAAGCCTTCCAAGTTGGCACTTTTCCTTCCAGGCTGTATGCCAGATTTGCTTTACCACATGAGGTAATTATTGTTCCTGCAGGCTCCCTCATAATACCTGGTTTCCTTGTGCCATTAAGTCCTCTGAACTTGATCTGTATGAAGCCTCTGATGCAGCTTGTCCCACAGACTCACAGCCTCTTTACAGTGAATGCTCATCTTGTTTGGTTTCCAGTCCTGTGGATTATCCCAAAGCTGTAATCTTCGACTGGCTGAGAATGGTCTTATCTACATAAGGCTTTTTTGCTACCCATTTGTCACAGGCTTCTGTGCTGTTACCTTCAGGGGCTCAGCTTTTTGTAGCTGTTCCCTGATTTCTTCCCACCTTAATGGGGCCCTTGTCTGGAAACTAAGGGGAGAAGTCTTAACTTATTAAGGCTTTAACAGAAATCCAAGGTCAGAGGTGGCTTTGCTGTTTAGTGATTATCTGTAGGAGCTGTTGGCTTTCACTACTATTATGATCAGTGATCAGTGCATTACTTATGTTAATTTCGTTAAATTTAACATTTTCAAACCATATAATTTTGGGGAAATGATGAAAAGAATTTCCATATACACTTCATCCAGGTTCCTCAAATGTTACCACCTTAATATAATTGTCCAAATAAATTTGATAACTGTCTACCACACTGACTTTATTCAGGTTGTCAGTGCCTAGCTCATCTCCTGTTGGGGACTGTACAGGCACTGTTGCTCCTCTTGGACATCCTTTAGCCCTGAGCTGTGTGTACTTCTCTCTCATCTATCAACTTTTGGTCATTCCTATAGTGACCTGTTGGATTTTCTGACTTGAAAGTACATCTTGTACTTATCTAGGATGTCACAGAGTTGCTTAGTTTCTGGAAATGAAAGCCTTAACATGGTTGTTGCGTTGTATTCATGAACTACCTATGCAGTTCTTTTCCAGGCAAACCATAGTCATGAGGTTAAACATCTCTTTCTGTTCCTTTTGCACCGCTGACTCCACCAATCACTTTCTGTCCATCTTGGAGTAGGTTCCTTGGTCTCTGCTGTCTCTTAGCTATCTTAACAATCTTGTAATGTGGCTCAATGGCCTACTACACACTTGGCTTTGCGGTGATGCCTCCATCTTTTTTGCTTTTTGATATAGGGTCTCATGTAGTCCAGGCTGGCCTTGAACGTGTGGTGATCCTCTGGCCTCAGTCTCCTGTGTGCTGGGGTTACAGGGGTGTACCACCAGGCCTACCCTGAAGCTTTGATCTTTCATCCCCTCTCAGGTGCCCTTCCAAGGGTCTGACATAAGCAGAACCCTAAACAAAGTGAGGAGACAGGCAAAGTAAAGACAAAGGCTCTGTCAGCTCTTTTAAAATACAATTTTAAGATGAGGAAATGTCATCAATAGCTTCATCATTAAGACCTTACTTGCTTCAGGGAAATAAGATAAAAGGCAGCGATTCCAACTATTACAAGACACCATTAGCTTAATTATGACAGTCATTTAATTAAATCCTTAAACTTTTTACCATGCAATAGTTACCTTGTTTTCAGCTTTTGTGACATCTTTTTTGTCCTCTGTGTGAAGAGGAAGCACGTACGCCACCAGCATGCACTAAGACAGCAGCACAGCAGGGTCATGGTCTCGTCTTGGTTTTAAAGTTACCAAATTCTTATGCATCTAAGCTGTTTTGTGGTATGCTGTTGACCATACAATGCTAAGTTTGCTATGGATAATACAGTCTGTTTTATGCATTTCCCGAAACTCAGAAAAAAATGGGACTTGCTGGGCTGATTTCTTGAAGTATTTAATACTGGAATATTATATACCTTTTTTCCCCCCTTTCTAGTTTTTAATGCTGAGAAGAGAGACATCATACATTTATTTGATCAGCGTGAAAAGCGGAATCATACACTGTGAATCAAACTGGCACTGTGTACTTCGTCAGGACTGAACAGATCCGTACAAACCATTCATGAGTGACTGAGTACTCGAAGCTGTGAAATGTACTAAGTAAAGTGCACATCTAAAGATAATTGTATGGGTTTAGTACGTACTTTATGAAAACTGGGTCTGTCTCAAATTGGGAGTTTTTTGGGGGTATTTTTTTGTCTGTAATAGGATGCCAGTTTGTTAAACCTTTTCAGCTAATAGGTATTTCACAAGGTCACAAATAGAGATCAAGTTCTCCTTCCAATATGGCAGCAGTGGAGCTTCTGTGTTTAAAAAAAATAAAAAGCCTGTAGGTGCCCACCTGACAGAAAAGAGGTGGGCTGCACAGATACCCTGGTCTGGCTGGATCCTGTCCACACATTGTGCCTGCTGCTGGTGCCAGCCCGTCTGTCACTCCTGCTCTGAGTGACAAGCTAATGCTCCTGTGCACTCCTGATTTGAACTATCCCAGCCTAAAGCACTGTTAACATAGACATCATTAGCAGTTTAAACAAGCCTGAATATAGAGCTGCTTGGGTCAGAGTTTTAAAAAGACTGACATATAATGAGCCTTATCATTATAAAACAATACTGATTTATAATTTGGAAGTTTGTGGTCTAGCCTTACTTTGAAGCAAAGCAAAATCTTCCTTTAAGTTCGTTACCAAGGAGAGCTATGACTAAATTAGACTTGTGGCAACAGGGGCTGAAACAGCTGGCCCTGCCCGGCATACCCACAGCAAGACAGACACAAGTCATAGCAATGATAGGCCTGCGCCCCCTTTGTCGTCAAAGTAAAAGACGAAGCTGATGCTGAAGGATATATGTTACAAAATGGGTATGTCTAGAAAGGCAAAAGAAATGCTGTTTTATCCTTACACACGTAGCTCTGGTAAATGACTTGTGAAATCGATTTTAAAAAATCAGAGGTTAAGATTGAAAATGATGGTTTAGTCATAACCCAGTAATAATGACAATGAGGTTTGACCTGATTCTTAATACTTATGGTAAACAGGCTCTTACTGCTTGTAAGTCACACTGATGACCTTCAGAAGTACTATGGGATGGAGAAGGAAGCACAGGATGTAATGCAGGGGCTTCAGGGATCATTTGGTTAGCTCCCTCTTTTCCAGAGGGGATTATGGGGCCCAGAAATTCAGGAGCATCTAGATATAGGGCTGGACTCCCCACAGGGTGCACTGAATGGCCATGTAGTCCACAAAGGCAGAATTATGTGTATGTTTTTTCATGTAACCATCTCCAACATGTTTGGGTTTTTTTATCCAGTCTTAAGATATAGCTTGTCTACCCTAAAAAGACAACTGAAGAAAGTATGGAAATATCTAAGTAGATTTCAGCCCAAGTTCTTTTTCACTCTCCCTTTGTGTCTATCTTAGGGCTGACAAGAATTTTCTTGTTTTCTCAGTTGAACTATTCATCTCATGTTTAATGTGTGTAACATTGCTGAGAAATAAAGTACTGTAAGTTCAATTTTTAAAACTTTTAACAGCTTCCATTGTTTTTAGCTGTTTCCCCTTCATACCTTGTAGATAAAAATTGTGGTCTGCTTTAAATCTTTACTGGGATAAGATAGAATGTAGGGGGGCGGGGAGATAGCTCAGTAGAATAAGCACTTGCCTGGCAAGCAAAAGGTCCTGAGTTCAACCCCTGGTAATGAGGAAAAAAAAAATGTCAGTGTAATGCTGTTACCACTTAGCCTTTAAAGAGTATGCTAGAACCTTGGGGAGAGTTATCCCTCAAAAGATGGAGATGACAGTAGTTGGATCTCTAGGGTGATGGACCATGTCTGCCTCTCATAGAAATAAAAGTCACTCACTTATGTATGTACGGGTGATCCAACTCAAGGCTTTGTACATGCTACACAAACACTTCCTACCTCCCAAACCAGCAAACTCACTGGTGCATTACAACTTACTCTAAATTGCTATTTTATCAACTTAACATTTGAGTATCACTTGAAAGATTAGTCCTGTTAACAGTCTATAGCCCCATTTTCTCCTGTAAAGAACAATCTTTGAATAATCTCCTTGCTCTAATTATGTGAGAAGGGCTCATTTAAGTTATTCCAGAAGTCAACAGAGGACATGTCTGTGATTAAATGAAAACTCCACACTTTGCTATAAAATGTTCACAGTGTTTGAACTTTTTAAAAAAAATGTATTTGGTACAGGGTCTCACTACACAGCATCTTGGACTTGTAGTGACCCTCCTGTTTCAGCCTCCCTAGTGCTGGAATTATAGACAGGCATACGCCACCACGCCCAGTGCAGGGCCAGTGCGGTATGTGGTACAGGAGATCAAATCTAGGTCCTTGTGCTTGCCTCGGCAGATGCTTAGACTGCTGAGCTATCTCTGTGATCCACAATGTTTGAACTTTAAAAAAGTGCAGGAACTGCTTCTACTTCACAGAATGGCTGCATTAATAACTTTACATCATCCACCAAAACCTTACTTTTTAAGTGGAAGACAGTGCAGAGGACTAGAATCCTACAGTGTAAACAAACACACTAGTTCTGTTTACAACTAGTGTTCACTTAACTCTCAAATCTGATGTACTAAATTAAGTTTAGATACCTATTGCAAATATCAAACTGATCAGTTTTTATCAGATTCTATGTTGCCAAACTCTAGATTGCTGTTCTTACCACAGGGTCAGATTCCCAAGCTCCTAAGGACTTTGTTTTAGCTTTGCTATTATGTTTCCACCTCGTATTGCTCATTGCCAATAAGATATTTTTACAGCTTTAAAAACATCCACATGCCCTGGAATGATAGGTACTACTGAGTTACCTCATGCTGGTTCAAGTCCTAGCAAGATGAAGACCCTTTTCTCAAGTTTATACTATCGTTCACAAGATAAAAGATGGTTCTGGGTACATTTAGTAGGTATGGCCCTCACCAAGAGAGGAAGGATCCTTTCCTGAGATGTGGCACTTTAGCTGAAACTAGAATGATGTCAATAAAGTGGCCACAAGAGTCTTACAAGGTATGAGAAGGCAAATGTGGCCGAGTTTGAGAAGCCAAAAGCAAAGGGAGCCATGCCAGTTGCTCCTGGTAGACGGATGTTGTCAGTACCAACCTCTACATGCCCAGTGCAGTGGGCCCATTTTTGGCCATTCTATTACTGGCCCTGGGGCTGTGCATTCTGCTTATTTTCCTCCAAGGCCCCTACAGGCTTTTCCAGTGACCAGAGGCACAGTCAGGAAAAGAAGGCATGCAAATGCCTCTTATAAATATTTCAGAGAGGGTGCTTTCATTAGTATACTGTGCTGGCCAGAAAACTGTTATGTGAAAGCAAAACAGTAAAATGACATAGTAACTTCAACAGTGTCAGCCTGTCTCTGTCATTTTAGTGGTTTCCCCCTTCCTGGGCTCACTTTTTGTAATAGGGCCATCTCCAGCCTATTTCTTAAGACCCCTGTCAGGTTTTTGGCATCATCTCTGTGCAACTGCAACCCCCACATAGCTTTAATTTCCATGCCTAAGACCACTTACTCCTCTCTTCATCTCCGCCTTAGATTGCACCTCTTGGCTCCCAACCAAACTACTTGCTATCTTCACCAGCATGTTGCAGAGATAGCTCAGGGTCTACATGATCCTTGTGCCTTAAATAAGCAAAAAAGACACATTTGCTAAAGCCAAAGAAACTGAACTGTCCAATTCCCACATTCATTAACTACCTCCTGTTAGCTGTACTAAAACATTTGATTCCATCCATTTCTCTACCCTCTCCACCATGACCATTGCTACAAACATTCGCATTGGCATCACTGCCTCCAGCCTTCCCCTATCCAGAACCAATCTCAGGAAGCAGGTAGGATTTAATCCCATTAGTTGCCTGCATTTGGTAACAGCAGAAGATAGTCCAGATTCTTTAGCCTGGCTTCTTGCCTCCAGGTCTGTGCACATCCTATTTCCTTGTCTAGGATGTCCTGAACAGCTAATTCCTCCTAAACCTGCAGGACTGGGGCAAGACCATGATGTTCTCTGCACAGTTCAATATGATTTTATCAATATCATACACTAATCAATTTGTTGATGTGTTAACAATAGCACGCTTTAAGAAGATCCACTTCAAAAAATACCACAGACATTAATTACCAAATGACTGCTCAGTAACATTCATCTGCAGATGATCCAATCAGACATTGTATTAAGAAGAACCAGAGCAACTGCACTGATACATGTTGGTGGTTTTCTTCTTTTTCTGCTTTAAAGGATATGTATTCTATATTTCACATCTTGGCCCTTGGGATGGAAGAATAATTTCCTGACTTCCTAACTCGCCTCAGGGCCTCTTTGGTTGTTTGCAAAATGTCAATGTTCTTCGTACTGTCCTCTTACTGTTTCTTTCATTGGCAATTTCCTATCATTCCTTTGCTATTTTTTGTTTTCCACCTTTTAAAAACATCAATGAAAAGGGCCAGCCAAATAGCTCAGTGGATTAAAGCAGCTGTGTAGACGCAGGGGCTGGGAGTTCGATCCCCAGGCCTGCCTTGCTGGCACTGCCCCCGGGGTGCACTGAGAAGGCAACTGAGACTGGGTGTGGTGGTGTGCACCTGTAATCCTAGCTCTTGGGAGGCTGTATACAGGTGGATCACTATGAGTCCAATCTAAACCCTTCCCTAAAATACAAAACAAAGCAAAAAGAAAAAAGCATCAACTACAAACAGTGCTATTTCCCTTCTCATGTAAGCTTTACTTCTTCTTTCTACAAGTTTTTGTTGTACAGGCCATTTTTCTCTAAAATTTCTGAAATTTCTCTCAGGCTGCCTGAGAGCTGGTACTAGTTAAGGCAAGTATTACCATTCTTGAGAAAGAAGCTAGACTACTTCATTTGCTGAAAAGCAGGGTCAGGAACATCCGTACCCTACCGTTTTGTTTTGTTTTACTGTGGCAGGTATAGTCAGGTTAGCTGCTTCAGAGTTATTCTCAGAAAGTCTGAATACCACACTTTCAAGAAAGACATCAAGCAGCTAGGGATGTAGCTCAATGGTAGAATAGTTGCTTATCATACATAGGTTGACTCTATCAAAATAACCAAATGGTGGTAAGTCACAGTTAAGATATTTAAAGCTCAGAACCCTTACCATAAAAACCAAAAATCTTACTAATCTCAGGCCATACTACAAAAGCCAGCTTAATCCAAATGTACCTCACTCATATAGTACTCCTCAAAGAACAAAATAGAAAACTCAGACAACTGCCACACAAACTCCCAGAAAATGGACAGGGAGAATAAAGGATAGGTCAGGCCATCTGGCGCCAAGCACTCAGAAGGTCAGGTTGGCTAAAGCAGTGATAATAGCAGGTCCCTCCTTGAATGTTTCATGGATTAAAGTGATGATGAAGGACACAAAAAAGAACATTACATTTAAAGCCAGACCTTACCTACCTTTTCAATGTCACCAAGAGACTTTACTCACTCTTTAAAATGTGCCAAAAGTAATAAAAGACTTAAAAAAAAGTTAGTCTCCTTTTAGAGTCAGAGAACCTCCCATATGCTTTTAAATGTATCTCACCAAAAAAATCTCATATAAAGGTTTAATAAATCCCATAATCTGAAAACCTTCTGGATAATTTTGAACTACTAAAATGGTAAAAAGCAAACACCTTCAGCTCTTATTATGTTTCAAGTGGTACTGTCTTACATCTCCAGTCGTGCATTTTTTGTCAAGAAATTTATTAGCCTTTACAAACACTATTTTCACTCATTCATAAAAAATGATTTATGATTAAGTCTGTAATAAAACCATATAACATTCATCAATGTATTCAGTTTCATCCATGGAACATAATAAACCACTTTAAAACAGCAGTTTTCAGTCATGTCATGTAAGGCTGTCAAACTAAAAGTATTCTTTATAATGGGTTGTCATCCAAGAAATTCATTTTACTTCACGTTACGTGGTGAGACTGATGTATATATCCTGTAAGATTGGAATCTGAAAGTAGATTCTACCTCTTTGTGGTCATGTTCTCAGTCTCTCTCAAACAAGTTTCACAATAGGAAAATATTTGTGAATTGAGAAATCAAATTCAGGAGGAACCTGTAAAGAAAATTAGAAAGTCAATTAAAGTATCTACAATAATTGTGTAATCAACAGAAAGCACCATTTTTAAAAGTTTCTTGTGCTTTTAGAAACAAGGCAGCACGC